ATACTATAATGATCCGGTAAAATATACTCAATTAATTCCAAATTTGAAGAAAAGAGAAGCAATTTCTAACAATATTTATCAAGGATTTTATGATGAATAAGATAACTAATTTTTTTTATTTTATGATGAAGTAAAGAAAAGAAATAAAAAGAAAAGAATAAATAATATGAATTACTACGGAAACAATACTAAAAACTGAAACCAAGAATTAGCAGAAAAACATTTAAAAATGTTAAAAGAAAATAGAAGAACGGCGAAAAAAGGCGGTTGATATTATATTGAATTAAGCGGTAGAATAAAAGAAATTGAGAATTTTTTAAGAAAATAACAGAAAATAAAAAGACAAAATGGCGACAGTAAATATTTATAAATGCGAGTGATGCGGTAAAACTCTAAAAAAAAGACCGCAAGAAGTAGAAATTAATCAATGAAAAGAGCAAGTATGTTTGTATTGTTTTATGAGACGAGAATGGCCGACATATAGAGAGGAGACCAGGAGAAAAAATGGTCTCTGATATTAAATAAAGCACGGAACCGGAGGAATTATTGAAAAGAGTAGGAGAGGAGGCACAATTCTCCTCTCTTATATTGATAAAACGACATTTTAAGAAAGTAAAATCATGGTAGCAATTCAAATAAGCAATTACAAAATACGCGAATATAACGAATTAGAAAAAGCAACAACGCGAAGCATTAAAGCAGAAAAATCAGTAAGAAGAATAAGAAAAAGATTTGTTAATCAATTAGCAGCGATAGCAGCAGAGGAAAAATGAGACCGAGAAATGGAACGATTAATGAAAGAGGAAATAGAGAAAAAAGCAGAAAATCCTCAGTATAAGAAAAAAACCAAAAAGCAATTAGCGGAGGAATTAAAGCCAAAATCCACGATTATTAATTTAGAAAAGTTTAGAAGTAAAGAGCAAGAGCCGCATATTCTATATTTTGAGCCATACGGACTGCCAGTTTATAATTCAGCGGGCAAAAAAAGCGGATTAGAGGCAAAACATAGAGAATTCATTAAGGAGAATAACGATAAAGTTTGAGAAAAAAGGTTAGAAAAACAAAGACAAGAAGCCCAAGAATGGGCGGCAAAAAGAGAAAAAGTGATGAAAAGAAGACAAAAAGCCGCTGCTAAATTAAAGCGGAAAATGATAAGCGAACAATTACAGGCGGAAATTCAGCAGTTAAAAGAGGATGGGAGTTATAAGATTAAAGATGGAGTGTGAGCCAAATATCAGCCAAAAACGGGTTATTTTGTTGAAATTAGAAAATTTGATGGAATTATAAAAGCAGGTGAATATCTAGGAATATGACGAGATAAAGCCGACAATGACCGGTTATTTGTTGGGATGAGTATTTTAATAAAGGATAAAGAAAAAGCGGAAGCATTAGGTCGAAAATTAGGCGAGCGGGCCATATGAGACAACGCCAACCAGCAAGAAATAAGACTATAAAGATTTAAAATTATGTGAAAAAAAAGAATGTGTTATTATACAAGAAATACGAGCAGAGCGGACGCGTTAATGTTGACCGAGTTTGTTAATTTTTGCGACCGGGCCGCGACCCAACAAATATTTTTAATCTGTTGACAAAGCAAAAAACGCTGAATATGCGAAAGTTCAGAATGTTGAGAAAAAGCCCGAAAAGACTTAAATATTTTAAAAAAAGAGTGAGAAAGAAAGCAGGAAATCAGCAAAAAAGTTAATGAATTGAGAAAAATAGGAGTGAGTGATGCCGAAATTTGACAGAGGTGAGATTATTTACAATAATAACAGACATTAAAAGCGATATGAATACGACATTAATTAATATAAATAACGAGGAATTAAAGTTAGCAAAAAAGTTAAAATTACAAGTTTTCTGTGATTATTGCGGGCATGATTTAAGAGTAGAAGGGTTAATGTGCCATGATAGCCAAGCCCAAACCAATTATTACGGAAATTATTTAATTTTAATAAATAAAGAAAGATAAAAAAAAAAAGGGAGGGAGGTGGGATATTTAGTGAAGTTTAAAAGTAGCAGATAGAGAAATTAAAGAGATTATCAAATTAAAATATACAAAATTAAAAAAGTGATTAAAAAATATGAGAGAATTTAAAGAAATGGATAAGAGAACCCGAGCCCGTTGTTATTATAGCAAGGCCAGGCAACAGATAGAAATAGAATATCAACAAAAGATTATCAAGTTAAAAGAGAGAGTTAAAGAAAAGTTTGGAGTAGAAATTAATGAATAATTGAAAGTGTAAATTGTGTAAAAAGTAAAAGGACCCAGCGGCAGAAAGCAAAGCCGCTGAGCCACAACATTAATAAATAACGCTATGGAAGCAGCAACATTAAACAAGTTAACATTAATACAACCACAGCATAATTTGATTTTATATAATTCAGAAATTAGCCCGCAGGTAAAAAAAGACCGCCGCGAGTATTTTAATATGTATAATAAGCGACCGGAAATTAAAGAAAAAAGGAAGTTAGCCCGATTAGCCAGAGAAGGAGAAAAAATGAAGCAAGAAAGAGAAACCAAAGCCAAATATTACCAAGCCGAAAATATTCAGGTATTAATTACTCTTAAAGAGTATACAGAATTAAGCAAAGATAAGCAAAAGTTATTCAAAGACTTTTCCTGAACGCTCCAAGATTGTAGTGAGGGAGTTTATGACATGGTTAATATTATGAAATTAGCCCAAGTAGCCGACAGGTTAATAAAGGATTATTGAGATACCGCCAAAGCCAAAGAAAAAAACGATAAAAGAAATTGGAATAATTTTGATTACGACGAACAACAACGCTTAATTAAATATTTAGGCAGGGAAAAAGCCAGAATTGAGAATAATTACATTGACGAAGTGGAAAGATTGGAAAGAAAAGGCGATGGTTATTTAAAAGAAATTGAAGCCCAAAAGTATCACGAGGAACGAGGGAAAATAAAATGTGAATGTTATTGATGTGAGGAACAAAAACAAATTCGATCCGAAGTAGAAGTAGAAAGAGAAAAAATTATTGATGATTATGAGGCCGAGCAGAAAAAAAACGGTGAGTTAGCGGAAGAATGAGTAAAAGCGGATTGTTATAATTGTGGTGAATATAAAAAAGTGAGTGTAGATAGTGGAATGTGTAAAAAGTGCGAGCGTGAAAGTGAGGAATATTAAGAAAATTAAATATAAATTTTAAGGCAATGGAAAAGAAATTAAATAAGAAAGTAGTTAGTAATATGGAAATAGAAAGAGTTAAAAAAGCAGAAAACAAGTTGAAAGAATTATACTATGAATATGATAAAGCCGCCGAAGAAAGTGATGGCGACTTAGATTGAAGTTCGGATCATGGATATTGAAAACAAGTTGGAGAATTAGAAAGAGAATTAATTAATGAAATAAAAAAATTGTTGGAACATGAACCTAGTTGAGATTATAAGATGGTGAGTGATGAATTGTTGAGTAAGGCTATCAAAAGTCAGTATGATTTAAAGGACGGATCGGCAGTTTGAAGCAAAATTAGAAGAATGAAACATCCGGCCGAGTTTTTGATTGAGGAGATTGAAGAGGAAAGAAAAGTAGAAAGCGATAGTGAATGTGGATAAAATAATTGAAAAAAATAAGTAGCGAATAAGATTAAGGGTGTGTAAAATGTGTAAACAAAATAAAGGGATGGGGTTATTTTTGTTGTTGAATTAGATAAGAAAGCATTAAGAATTATTAAGGGAACAGTATAAAGATATGAAAGAAATTAAAGAAAGTATAATATTAAACGAATTAAAAAAATATGTTGAATTGCTGGACGAGCATTATTTAACATTAGAGAATAAAAAAGCCGAGGGCGAAGACGATAACAAATTATTATTAAAAGTTATAAAGAATGTTAAAAAATTGATAGTTAGGAAGTCCAACCAGTTAACAAGTTTAAAAGAGGGTGAAGAATGGAGAGACAGAATTATAACGGAGTTAGAACGAGACCGAAAATTGTGATGAGGAATAGAGGAAAGCCATGATGTAGCCGAGTTTAAAAAGTTGGTAGGGGTTGAAAAGTTTGATAAATTAATGGGGAGTTGAGGTTGAAGTTATTATCAGCATTAATATAAAATAAGATTGAATTATTATGAAATGTATAAAGTGTGATAAAAATATAGCAATTGCGTTAAAAGCCGAATTATGAAAGTTAACGGCAAAAGAATTAAAAAACGATTGAGAAATTTTGAGCCGTAATCTGCTATTTAAAAAGCATAAAGAATGCTATTCTGATT